CCGCGCCTCGGGTTCACCAACCCTGGCTGTTGACAACACGTACCTGCTGTTCTCCACCTACTTGGTGTTTGCTATGCAGCTGGGTTTCGCCATGCTGTGTGCCGGTTCGGTGCGGGCTAAGAACACGATGAACATTATGCTCACCAACGTGCTAGACGCTGCTTGCGGTGGCATCTCGTATTACGTGTTCGGATTCGCCTTCGCTTTCGGACAAGGTGGGAAGCCCAATGGTTTTATCGGTCACGCCAACTGGGGTCTCCAGAATGTCCCCAACGCCAGCTTCGATTACAGCTTTTTCTTGTTTCAGTGGGCGTTCGCGATCGCTGCCGCGGGAATCACATCCGGGTCGATTGCGGAGCGCACGCAGTTCGTAGCGTACCTGGTGTATTCGTCGGTGCTGACTGGATTTGTGTACCCGATTGTGTCTCACTGGCTGTGGTCGACGGATGGTTGGCTGTCGGCGACGAAGAGTGTGGGTCCCGGCGGGCTGTTGTTCGGGAGTGGGGCGATCGACTTCGCTGGTAGCGGCGTGGTGCACATGGTGGGAGGGCTGGCTGGGTTCTGGGGCGCGTTCATAGAGGGACCACGAATTGGACGATTTGACAAATCTGGGAACTCGATGAACTTTCGCGGTCACAGTGCGACGTTGGTTGTGTTGGGGACGTTCCTGTTGTGGTTCGGATGGTACGGATTCAACCCGGGGAGCTTTCTGAAGATTCTGGTGCCATACGAGGGAGTGAAGGGCAACTGGAGCGGAGTTGGGAGGACTGCAGTGACGACGACGTTGGCGGGATCGACAGCGGGAGTGACAACATTGTTCGGGAAGAGGTTGTTGGATGGGCACTGGAACGTGCTGGATGTGTGCAACGGGGTGTTGGGAGGGTTTGCGGCGATCACAGCATCATGCGCCGTGGTGTCTCCATGGGCGAGTATCATCTGCGGGTTTGGAGCTGCATGGGTGCTGATCGGCTTCAACAGGCTTGCTGGTGTGTATATTTTGTGTTTTACAGGGTTACTTTGTTGATGTTTTTAATGCTCTGGTCGAGTTGTTGAATTGTACCTGTGTTAGTCGTTTCCTTTACCGTGACACCATTCAAGGTAAATCGGGTGGGACTAGGTTTTGTTCCTATTCAGCGTCCTCTCTTCATACTTAGGGTGATGGGTTGTGTCGCATTGCCATTGCTCCAACAAAGCGGACTTGATTGTTTACTGGGACGAGAAGTGATGTGGTCAAACTAGATATTCTTTAGTGTGGGCGTTGGTACTTTCTTTGAGGTAATTCATTTACTTACTGGAATTTGGCATTTTTACAGCTCGTTTCCACTACGATGACCCCCTTGAAGCTGCTCAGCTTCACGCCGGTTGCGGAGCATGGGGTCTTCTGTTTGTGGGACTTTTCGCTGAGAAGAATTACGTTCAGCAAATTTATGGTGGCAACGCCGACAGACCTTTTGGTCTATTCATGGGAGGCGGTGGCAGGTTGCTAGCTGCCCAAATCGTTCAAATTCTTGCGATTACGGGTTGGGTGACTGTGACGATGGGCCCGCTGTTTCTCGCCCTTCACAGGTTCCGGCTGCTGCGTATCTCCTCCGAAGATGAGATTGCAGGTATGGATTTGACGAGGCATGGAGGTACTGCATATATTCACAACGACGGCTCGGAGCAGTTGGTGCACTTCACTACGAAGGGGGATAAGAATCACAATGGTAAAATCCCAATCTAAATGCGTCTTGAACGTCCATGGCGTTGATTCGGAGCGACATGGTTCAGTTGGTAGATTTAAGCTCTTACTGGTGGAGTGCTCTTGGTGTAACGTCGAAGCCACACTCGCAGCCGCACTGCGCTTCGTGATGTGCCCCCAGTTGCACAGAAGTTATCATTTGCCATCGCTTTTGAAGAAGTTGCCTCGATATGCCCTTCCTCTGCGCAGCACCCTCGAGGATGGGTTGATGTGCTGGGACTGATTCTTGTCACTTCGTGAAAAGCCTTCAGGTGGCTTACTGAAAGTACCAATTAGGATCTGATTTCTGTGTCAGACTTAGAATGACAGCCTAAGAAGCTTTATCTCGTGACTTTAACAGCTGAGACTCAGCAATCTATTTGAGGTCGCGTGTGCCAAAGAAGGCAATATTCCAGTTCATGGTTGCAATCCTCACTGTTTTTTCCTCAAATCGAGGTTCTTTTTCATCGTGGGAACTAATAAATACGTGTTGGAACAACTAATATTCCATCAGTGCTTTTCGTTGATCTGCTATGTACTGTTGAAAAGCTCGCAGACATGATGCTCGAGTGGCTTTATGTTAACAATTCTGTCTGTAATCATTGATGAGAAACAAAGAGAACAGGATAAATACGATGCGAATAGAGCTTTCTAATTGAGAAGTGGAAATCATCTCATCCTTCTCTGTTGTCAGCTTGGTAAGCACAGTGAAACTTGTGAATATTTACGTATACATGATAACAGTAGTAGAAAACAGTGAGATTTTAGAAGTCATTATCTTGGTACATATGAATCTCGTGGAGAAAATTACCAGAATGTGTCAGGTTGAAATCCAAGGGCGTATTAATTGGCATAGAAATGAACCTGTCATCGTGGAGTACTTGGTTGTTCTAGATTCTCTGATATTCAAATAATTCCATGTAAGGAGACTTTTACGAACTAGGCTTTCAGTTTTGATACGTCTGAAGTTTGAAAATAAAGTTACGATTCAAGTTTTATTCAAGTTATCAGCTTTAAGAAGAAAAAAAACTAGTGATAAAATGACAGATAAATCAATAAACACACACTGTGATTGGGACATAAAACATTGTGGTAAGTGACATTGTAACTGTAAATCCATGCAAGTGCTTTTAAAAAAACAAAAAAACAAAAAGAAGAAAGTTAAGGTGATCATCAAATGAGGCAGGGCTTTTTTCAAAAATAGTAAAATTCACCAGTGCAATTCAAAATTTTAAATTGCTTTGTTTGTGCTAACCTTCACAAGCAAAATAAATTCTGTGAATAACCTTCATGATTTGATTCTCAAAGGAACAGACAAATGCCCGTTTATGGGAGCATTATAGGGCATGACATTTTCCACATTTAGAAGACCTGTTATTGGCAGAAAAACTTTTGGTGCATCACACATGGACAACTTTTACCAACAAAGACAACATAGCCATTCATCCATTAGTGCCAGATTCTGGTCCCAGCACAAACCATTCTCCAGATCTTGTGGCAAAGGAAGGTTGAAAAATGCTCTCATTTCTTTCATGTAATCAAAGGAGTTATGCAGCCCATGGCAAGACATCTGGTTTCACACTTTGATTCAAAACGTACAACACAGTTATTGTGGTCAAATAAAAATGACCACTAAAGTATTATCTGACCCATAGCAGCAGTTCAAGTCAGATTTTGGAACTTGACCTGTAGGACTGCAAATTTGGTCTTCAAGTAAGTGAGAGAGTTGCATTGAAGTGATGTAATAGTCACAGATTCATGTGGAATGCAAACTCTGTGCTGACATGGATAAACAAACAAACAAAACAAAACAAACCAGTGTGTAGATAATATAAATTAAGCAGGTTTATCAGCACAGTGATGAATAGTACTAATAGACTATTGAATTTCTTTGCCTTAATAGTGTGGCAGTTTTCTACCAGGTATTTAGGGAGACAGTTGAGAAGCACAGTACTAACTGACTTTCCTCACCATCTTGTTGTATCCATTCTTGTTTTCTGGCTCAACTTGTTTTAATTTGATATTTATCAAGCTTGGGAAATAACTCTCTTCTGGGTTAGTGTGTAATAATAACAATAATAATAACTACTACACATATATGCCACCTAGGGAACCACTTGGGTCAAGGGGTGCAAAAGCCACAATTCATAGAAAAGAGTATGTCAATATTTGAGCTCTATAGCAAAAGCCAGACACATTTTACATTTGACAGCCACCCAAGTTAGTTCCTGAGGCACATATAAATGGAACCATTACAAGCAAAACAATGAAACTTAAACCTAACCTACCTACAAACATTTTATCATTAAAATATACTGCTATCTTTGCTTTGTTCTATTTTATATTTTAAATAATTTTGAATCATGTTTTAAACTATTACTGTAGATTGGTGTCCAAAACTAAGCAAACAAGAATATACAGTTACTTCCAGTTTGCATCTAGAAATGAGGGCCACAAAAATAGAAACCATTACAAGTAAGCAAAGGCGCTGGAATGAGAAAATAGATTGAACTAGATTTTGGATAATTTAGTGACTCAATACTAGCAAGGAAGCCTGGACATTGCAGCCTACAGAAAAAGACCTGTTTAGATATATATATATATATATATATATATAAGAATAGTAATGATACATGTTAGGTCAACCATCTTACAAATAGAAATAATTTCAGAACGAAAACTTGGCAGCAATTCCTACATAATAAATTGCTTCCCAATAATGAATATTCCTTTAAGGTCAACATTTTCACAATCTGTTCTCTTTGCACTGTGATGTTCCGATTATTAAACCTTGAAAAGTTATTGTGGTTTAATATGTTTTCACGTAATGTAATTTATGGGCCTAAGAAAAAAAATCGAATTTAAGCCTAGGATTGAAAAATATCTTGTGTATTAATAAAATATTCAACTTTCTGTAAATTTATTTATTTAATAGCAAACCCTGCAATATAAAAACTAGCATGTAGCAGTTGCATCCATATAAATATAATTTAATGGCTCTAAACATATTTTTTTTGGAAACATATATTGGAACTTGATTGATTTATTTACTTTAAAGCTGTGTAATAAATAGTATATATATATATATATATATATATATACATATATTATGCATACTTAAAACTAATACTCTTCAAAACAAGATTGGGGTGCTTCAATGTAGCATCCTCAAACATTACACAAAATATTAAAATAGCACGCTACATATAAACATATGTAAAATTGTACTTGGTCACAAATTAAATAAGACCATAAACTTCAATTATTCCAGGAATATTATTGAAGATGTCGCAACGAAGAACATCAAGAACATGGAATAATGTTCCAGCCCTACATTACACCTTCCAAAAACATAAACGGAATACTATTAAATATGGAAAATGAAAAAGTGCACACAAAGATCCCAATATAATCAATAGACACGCCCACAACGGCGGTTCTTAATCTGCATCTTAGAATATAAATAACACAGATGTTAAGAATAAATTTTTTATCACATTCACAATCACAAATAAACCCGCTTTTATAATAAAAACGGTATGCACAATTCCAAACATAAATGCAACGCATTTCACATCAAAATACATTTAGAACGCGGTTAAAATACTACATTAGAATACCAGAGAGTGCAAAGATAAATACCCAATTATTTTCACATGCAGTAATCTAGTATTTCTTTCAATGCCACCAAGTGAAATAGCATAGCGAGAAGGGAAAGTAAACGTAGGCAAAGGATTAAGTAACAGGCAAGAGGAGCGAAATAAGGAAAAGGTTAAACGGCATCAAAGCGGGCCCCAGCATTGGACCTGATCACCCTTCCAGTTGGAGACAGAGACGAGAATTGGCCGACGGACAGTCGCCCTGGACGAACGATGAAATATCCGTCGTGTCGCCGGCCGGAGGACTGCGACATTGTGGCCGGGTTAAAAGCGAGGCCGACGGGATGGGCGTTTACGCCCATAACCCGTCGCGTTACTGGTTCCTCGCTGTGTCACTTTTCGCACCCTGTTTAGAGGCGAACTTGCGGCGTCGTCGAATTACCGCAGTACCCACAGAGTGGACCGATCCTCTAGGGTGTTGAGTGGCCGCGAATTGTCCTCTGGTGTCCTCGTGTTCCGCAGAGGAGGACGACGCGAACGGAGTCACCGCTGGGGGGTGCCTGAGGAGGATATAAATGCTTCGTGGCTCTCGTGGAAGTGGATTACAAGGACGAAGTGGGCTCGATGGTGGGGAGTGGGTCGTTGCAGGATAGACAGTTGGTTTGCAGGAGCTCTGGTTGTGAGGTGTGAGTGTCGTGGAGGTCGACCATGACGACCTACGGGTGTGCGGCGGGGGACCTGACCATTCTTCAGGGGTATCTGGGTGCCTCGGGCAATGCCACTGGCTTGAGCGAGTTTCTTTGCTCCAAGCTCGATGGCATCGATGCGCGCCTCGGGTTCACCACCCTGGCTGTTGACAACACGTACCTGCTGTTCTCCACCTACTTGGTGTTTGCTATGCAGCTGGGTTTCGCCATGCTGTGTGCCGGTTCGGTGCGGGCTAAGAACACGATGAACATTATGCTCACCAACGTGCTAGACGCTGCTTGCGGTGGCATCTCGTATTACGTGTTCGGATTCGCCTTCGCTTTCGGACAAGGTGGGAAGCCCAATGGTTTTATCGGTCACGCCAACTGGGGTCTCCAGAATGTCCCCAACGCCAGCTTCGATTACAGCTTTTTCTTGTTTCAGTGGGCGTTCGCGATCGCTGCCGCGGGAATCACATCCGGGTCGATTGCGGAGCGCACGCAGTTCGTAGCGTACCTGGTGTATTCGTCGGTGCTGACTGGATTTGTGTACCCGATTGTGTCTCACTGGCTGTGGTCGACGGATGGTTGGCTGTCGGCGACGAAGAGTGTGGGTCCCGGCGGGCTGTTGTTCGGGAGTGGGGCGATCGACTTCGCTGGTAGCGGCGTGGTGCACATGGTGGGAGGGCTGGCTGGGTTCTGGGGCGCGTTCATAGAGGGACCACGAATTGGACGATTTGACAAATCTGGGAACTCGATGAACTTTCGCGGTCACAGTGCGACGTTGGTTGTGTTGGGGACGTTCCTGTTGTGGTTCGGATGGTACGGATTCAACCCGGGGAGCTTTCTGAAGATTCTGGTGCCATACGAGGGAGTGAAGGGCAACTGGAGCGGAGTTGGGAGGACTGCAGTGACGACGACGTTGGCGGGATCGACAGCGGGAGTGACAACATTGTTCGGGAAGAGGTTGTT